TGGTATTTGGTGAGGATATGTTATTTTGGTTTTTCATGTTATTATTTTTTATCCGTGATTTTGACATGTGAATTTCTTTCATAGTTTCTGATTCTTGTGTGAGACTCAAACCTTCAAGTTTAGGTCTGCTTCTTTTTGTGAACTTTATGTCCCTTTGTGGTTTACATTTTGGTTGTGAAAAGCTGGTTCCTCTAAGCTTCCAGTTCTCTCTTTTGATTTTATATTGGAGTGGCCAGATTGCTTTTGTCTTCAGGAGTTCCCACAGCAGCCCAAGTCAGATGAGGATCAGATGCTCTCAGGAGGTCTGGATCCCTCCAGGAAAGATTTTGGCCTCAGGAGTTTGGGAGTTGGACTGGCCTGGGAGCAGGGCCCAGGAAAGATGCTGGTCTCAGGCAGCTGGTGCTACCCAGAGATGCAAAGGCAGATGAGGGTGGGAAGAGGCCCTTAGGGCTCCTGGGGATTGCACTGAGGCACTGGGTTGGTTTGGATGCAAAGGATCAGGAAAGAGCAGGATCTGAGGCCCTCTTTTGACCTCTGAGGGCATTGCACAACACGGGTGCACTTACACAGATGCAGGCAATATGCTCATACACATAAAATAAATAAAAATGACAAAATGTTTTTTAAAAATGAGGTGAAAGTCTTAGCTCCAGAGGTGCAGAGTGCCATAGAGGACTGCGTGACTTAGGGCTTGAAGGAGCTGGGTACAGAGCAAGAGCGGTTCCCTTTGATGTCGTCTCGGTCACGTCACAGCTGTGCTCTCTTGGATAACACCTAAGCTCTCTCATGTCCAAACAGAACCAGAGGGGCTGGAGAAATGACTCAGTGGTTAAGAGCATGTGCTGCTGCCCCAGAATTCAGTTCCTGGTGTCCACATCAGGCAGCTCACAATTGCAGAGACAGGTGGATCCTGGGGCCAGTGAGAATCCCTGTCTCAAAACTCTGGGTAGTAGCCGGGCGTGGTGGTGCATGCCTTTAATCCCAGCACTCGGGAGGCAGAGGCAGGAGGATCTCTGTGAGTTCCAGGCCAGCCTGATCTACATAGTGAATTCCAGGCCAGCTGGGGCTATAATCACCCTCTGGATCTCTGGATAGTGTTCTTGAGGATGGTGCTTGAGGATGTCCTCCAGCCTCCACATGTACATGCATATATGTGCACATGCACATGTGTGCAAATGCACCTGAACACATGCACCTGGACATGTACATGTGCACACACATATAAAATATATATGAAATAAAGCAGCTATTAGTAAAATTCTATATTATTATTAATAATATTTTTTTGATACAGGGTCTCTCTGTAGCTCAAGCTGATCTGGAGCTGGAACTCACTATGTAGACCAAGCTGGCCTCAATCTCCCAGAGATCCACTTGTCTCTGTCTCTGGAATACTGGGATTAAAGGCATGTACCATCACACCATCTTATATTTTTACAGATTAGTAAACCAAGGCACAAAGCACATAAGAGTCTCGTTCAAACTCTTACATCTGGGAACTGGCAAAATTATGGGCAGTTTTCTTAACAATTTTGTGACAACATTGTACAGAGGACCCCATGATATAGTGCCTGGCATTATCCTTAACACAGAGAAGGTACTCAAATAAATGTCATGAAGTTTAAAACTCCCCTTGAATAAACAGCACAGGAAAAGGATTTTTGTCATGTTCGGTTCCCTGATGTTGGAGCATCTTCAGAATCACAGTGAGCAGGATTCGGTTTGAGAATCCTGAATACCACCTCAGGTATTTCAAGTAGTGAGGGATTTAATAAAGTCCACTGTGTACACACTGAAAGGAGATGGGGAGTTGAAATTTCCAGGCTGACACTTGGGTTTTAGCTTCTAAATCTTTCCGCTCGATCCAAAAGGCTCAGAAATTGCTGAGGCCATGCGCTCCCGTCCCTATGCAACTGGGGACTGAAGAGCTGGAATGTAGATGTAGCACCAGCTCACTCCTGTCTGCACAAGGCTGGTAGTTTCCTTTTTTCTGCCTTTCCAAACTTTCATGGGTATTCTCAATGAGAATCTACATGCCAGCCAGGATCTCCATGGCAAGGGATTTTGGGAACTGTTGTTTGTAGATGGCCCCTCTAGTAACATGGAAGACACAGTAGATGTGTGGGTAGGAATGAGCGCTCAGGGATGCCAGTGGATTGCCAAGGAGCAACATGAGAAATACCCAGTTCATTCTGAGCGTCAAGGGGACAGAAGCCCTAGACCTTTTTACCAACCAGGGAGGTTTGGGAAAGTTGTTTTTATCTTTCCTGAGGTTGAGGGTGATTTCAGTTCTCTTCTGAGGCTAACAATGGATGTCCTTCTTGACAGATGGAGTTCTCCTTGTACGCCATCAGCCATGTGGGTATCATCATCTCCCTGGTGTGCCTTGCCTTGGCCATTGCCACCTTCCTGCTGTGTCGTGCCATTCAGAACCACAACACATACCTGCACCTGCACCTCTGTGTGTGTCTCTTCTTGGCCAAGATTCTCTTCCTCACTGGTATAGATAAAACTGACAACCAGGTCAGTATACCTTGGGCTGTGGCCCTATCCAACCCCATCACTTGCCCATAGGCCTCTGCTCATCACCATTCAGTTCCCTCCCTTGGGGTCTTTGCACATGCTGTGTCCTCTGCTAGTAATAATAACCACCAGCCTCTGTTGTATAACTCTGTTCCTGGGGAGATGTGAATAAATGTCTACTGCAGATATGGAACCAAAGACAGACCAAAGCAAGGAAATCCAACCTTGTGAACCAATGAGTTTTATTGGGGTTCCTTACAGGAGTATAGGTGAGGGGTTACAGATGCAGAAATGACTCAGAGACAGCGCACCATCATAGTCCATCCCAGCATGGGTGACAGCTCATGAGAGCTGGAAACTTGGAGTGCACTGCACAGCTGTAGGCAGCTTGACAGGTTGCAGTGTCCTTTCCAGGCAGTTTGGTTGGTCTGAGCCTTTTCCAGGCAGTTCAGCTTGTCTGAAAGCCTTCTAGGTGCTCTGAAGGTTGGGGAGCAGCTCCCAGCAGTCCTTAGAGCTTCTATAAGCTGGAGGAGGGAGGGGGCAGTGAATCCAGTCAGTTTCCATTTGACTTCTTGTGACAGGTGTCGTTTAAAATCAAAACACTTACCTTGTTATGAATTGTTCTGATTCCTTCAGTTACACACACACATGCTCTCTCTCTCTCCTCTCTCTCTCTCTCTCCTCTCTCTCTCTCTCTCTCTCTCTCTCTCTCTCTCTCTCTGTGTGTCTGTGTACACGTGTGCAGGTGCAGGTACATGTGTGTGCACATGCGTGTGGAGGCTAGAAGCCAACCTTGTGAAGTCATCCTAGGTCTTTCCTTAGGATTCATCTACCTTACATTTTTTTCCTTATGCATTTGTGTGTGTGTGTGTTGTGTGTGTATGTATATGCATGTTTGCATGTACATGAGCGTACATGTGGTGTGCATGAAAGTTTGCATGCGTGTGAGAAGAAAAGCAACAGGACAGGCAAGCTGAAAATCCCAGAAGCTGCCAGGAAGGGAGATGCAGAAAAAGCCATGCCCTTTCAGTTAGGCATGGAGGTCAGAGAAATCGTGAGGATGCCTAGGGTGTCTGGGAAGGCTTGCTTAGGAGTGCCGAGCCACAGATCTGAGTTTAGAGGGCACTGAATTCCAGGCTCTTGTCTCTCAGGGCAAAGAACTGGACCAGGGATACCTGTTAAGAAATGGAAATAGAGACAGCTTATTTAAAAAGGAAAAAGGGGGCTGGAGAGATGGGTCAGCGTTTAACAGTACTGGCTACTCTTGCAGAGGACCTGAGTTCAGTTCTGTGCACCCACATGGAGACTGAGAATGGTCTGTAACCCCAGCTCCAGGGGGGATCCAATGGCCTTTTCTGACTTCTGTGGGCATCTGCACTGACACGCCCAAACCCATACATAGACTCACACATATACATAATTAAAAAATAAAATAGATATTAAAAATTTTTTGCTTTTAAAAAGTTTTATGTGTATGTGTACATTGCGTGCATGTATGCAAGTGCACCCATGTTGTGTAATGCCCACAGAAGAGGGCATAGGATCTCCTGGGACAGGAATTACTGGCAGTTGTTAGTCACCAGTGGTTGCTGGCATTCGAACCCAGGACTTCGGCAAGAACAGTCAGTGCTCTTAACAGCTGAGCCATCTCTCTTGGCCCCAAATAGATCTTTTTTAAACAAAGAAATATTTGAGGCATGAATGAATGGGTCATGTGCTAACTTTTCTTAGAGAGATAGGAACAAATGTCTAACCACACCAAGTAGGGCACCAGCAACACACCAGAGAATCAGTTCCACCGAAGTCCTAGTTAGTGAACCAGATGAGTTTAACTGGATTTGTCTACAGAGCATGGGTGAGGGATTCGTTACAGGAAGATGGACAGCCCCCAAAACATCTGCATCACTGCAGTCTCACCCTATCATGGGAAGCTGCCACTGCAAAGTCCCACCCGATCATGGATGGTGATGGGATGACCGTTATGCCCACAGGATCATTATACCCTCAACCTTGTCCACACTGGGGACCCTCACATCCCGCTTTCTTCTCTGCAGACAGCCTGTGCCATCATCGCTGGATTTTTGCACTACCTTTTCCTTGCTTGCTTTTTCTGGATGCTGGTGGAGGCGGTGATGCTGTTCCTGATGGTGAGGAACCTGAAGGTGGTGAATTATTTCAGTTCTCGCAGAGTCAAGATGGTGCACCTCTGTGCCTTTGGCTACGGGCTACCGGGACTGGTGGTTATCATCTCCACCAGCTCACAGCCTCATAGCTATGGGATGCATAATCGGTGAGTGGCACTTTCTTCTCTTTCTAAAGTCCTTGACGCCAGGGTTCATGACAATTATGCACTTTTATCATTGCGGCAACAAGAATAACAAGAAACAACTTAAGGGAGCAAGGGTTTATTTTGAAATACAGTCGTGACGGGGAAGGCACAGCGGCTGGAGCAGGAGGAAGCTGGTCACATCGAATCCACAGTCAGGAAGTGAGTGTGGGCAGGAAGTGGGCTGGGCTTTAGAAAACCTTAAGGCTTGGGGCTGGAGAGATGGCTCAGCCATTAAGAGCCCCAGCTTCTTCTGCAGAGGACCAGGGTTCTGTTCCCAGTGCCCACACAGTGGTAACAGTCGTCTGTAACTCCAGTTCCAGGAGATCCAACGTCCTCTTCTGGCCTCCATGGGTATTGTACACATGGATGCACTTACATCCATGCAGGCAATACACTCATACACACAAAATTTAAAAAAAACCCTCAAGGCTTGGCCCTGGTGGCCCACTTGCTCCAGTGAGGATCCATGGAGCCCGACACCAAGTGTTCAAACACGTGACCCCGTGGGGCATTCCACATTCCAGCTGCGGTGACCACATGGGTAGAGCAGCAGCTCTTGCAGTGGCACCTTGGTCAGGCAACCGGCTGGAGGCTTTCTGCTCCACCCTGATAGATGATGTGGTTAGGCAAGGATGATGATCGTAAGTAGGCAGCAAAGCCCTTGTGCTAGAGGCCATTGATCAGGCCTAGTGTTCCTAAAGGAGGTTTCTTCTAGCTGGCTTAGAGTGAGCTGTGCAATCTGCTTCTTGTGGAAAGGGAGCGTGGTAGTGCTGTTAGTACCAACCACGGCAGGCCTCCAGGCAAATGACTATTGCAGGCAAGTGAAGGGCTGCACTTGTACCAGTCACCCCAGGCCTCCATGCAAGGACAGGTTATATTTCTACTAATCCTGCACAGTCACCTCTTCAAAAGAAGGACTCTGCCAGTCACGGACCCATTGGGCCACCAGGAGAAATGCTGTCTATCTGGTCTGGATAAAAATGACTTAGAAAATGACATAGACGTTATTTAGAATGCACAGTGACTTATGTTGGTAAGAAATCTGCCACAAGCTGTTTGAAACAGTCATGGTACACAGTGCCTTCTGGAGTCTGAGTTGTGCTCTGACAGCAAGCAGCTGTGTTTACTGTGTAGCTCCTTCAAGCTTTGTGGGGTGTTCAAGGCAGCTGGGTTGTGGTGAGGGCAGGGGTCTAGATGCTTGACTGGAAGTCCTTCACTCAAGGCAACGTGGCACTAGGGAGGGTCTAACAGCTGTCAATCAGGGAGTCATCTCACCCTGGCCCACAGCACTGTAGCTTATTTAAAGAAAAAAAGGGGACCTACACTTATTAACACTGAGCATTGATTGGGCAGTACTTTACAGTGCTCTAACAATGATTAACTCCTGCCCTAGAGCCCCAGGGAGAGGTGGATCCCTCTAGTCCAGTTCAGTCATGTTGGCTTCCCAGTGGCTCACATTGTGCACAGCATAAGTGTAAGAACACCTATCATTTAGACTTACTCTGTGCACAGAGAACATTAGCTTGGACTAATTTGACTATTATTCTGATAGAGAATATCAGAGTACAGTTATTAAAAGTGGAGGCGGGCTAGAGAGATGGCTCAGTGGTTAAGAGCATGGGCTGCTTTCGCAGAGGAACTGGATTCGATTCCCAACACCCACATGGCGGCTGTGGCTAACAACCGTGTGTAACTCCAGTTCCAGGGAAATCCAATGCATGATATGGGTGCACTTACACACATTCAGACAATACACTCATACGTATAAAATAAAAATAATAAGTAAAATATTAAAAATAAAAGTGGAGGCATGATTGCTATATAGGAAAGCCAGAACATACATATTAGAAACATGATAGGAAGAGCCAATCTCCTTCCTCCCTCTTTTCCTGTCTTCCTAACAAGCAATTGCAGAATGCTCGGTCCATGCAAAGCTTTGCACTGAGTGGTATTTTATTATTGAATAAAACATTCAAGATCTAAATTTTCATTCACCTCACAGTCTAGTAGGAGCAGAAAAATTGCAAGTACACAAGAAACCAAAGAAGATATGCTTAAGAAAAGAAGAGGTACTATTCTTTAAAAAATGCAGAGTGCTCTGCTAGAGAGGGCCTAGGTGTTGGGATCCGTGTCTTAGCTAAGGAGGATCAGGAAGGAATTTTCACCAGAAGGAGCATTAGAGCTAAGATTTGCATGACACAGTGTCATCCAATGACATTTGAATAACTAGTGGAGAGTTCTGTGGATTAAAAGGTCTTACAAAGGTCATGAACTGATCATTACCTCTAACTCCAATTCTAGGTCAATGTCTCAGGAACATTTGCCCAGTAGGAAGTCTGAGCAAGGATGCACCTTGGTCCAAATGTCTCTGACATGACCCACCTCATTGTTCTAGTTTCATTCTGTTGCTGTGATAAACCAGACACAGCTTGGGGGAGGAAAGGGTTCATCTGGCTTACACTTCCAGGTCACAGTCCATCACTGAGGGAAGTCAGGGTAGGAACTCAAGCAGGAACTGAAGGAGAAGCCATGGGGGAATGCTACCTAGGCTGAGGCCTAGGGAGTGGGGCTGCCCACAGTGGGCTGAGGCCTCCTGCATCAGTTAATAATCGAGACAACCCCCACAGACATGCCCGCTGGCCAATTGGTCCTTGAAAATTCGTCAGTTGAAGCTCTTTTCTCAGATGACTCTCAGCTGTGTCAGGTTGATAAAGCTTACTAGGACATTCATTATGAGAATCGTCTATGAACCCCTTCCCAGTGTTCTCCATCAGTGAACTTTGCAAAGACCGAGACAAATGCTCACATCTCCTGCTCTCCTCCACAGCTGCTGGCTAAATACAGAGACTGGGTTCATCTGGAGTTTCCTGGGACCAGTCTGCACCATCATTGTGGTAAGGAAGCCATTTTATGAACTGATGATTTAGCAGAGGATCAAGGAGACTCAAGATTAGGAAGTGTTACCATGTAGCAAAACGGACATCTGGTTCCTTGCTTCTTAAAACTCCTTGTTGTGAGCCTGGTTTTTGAAATTTCCAAGGTGGTTGGAACTTCTTTGCCACTTCTCACTCACGCTGAGGTATAACACCCATGTGCATATGAACCTCCTTCACACATGTCCACACACATGCAAACATGCATACACACATCTACTTATGCCATTTAGGATACCCTGCCTAGGGTACAGTGCCACCCACAGTGGGTTGATCTTCCTGTTAAGAAAATCTCCCATGGGTGTGCTCAGAGGCCAGCCTTGCTCTAGATAATCCCTCACGGGTTTAGCCTGTGAGGTGTCAAGCTGGTAATTAATACTAACCATCACATGGTGGAGGCTGAGTTTGGGGGCCAGGGATGGAGGATCTTGAGAAGCTGGGAATTAAAGAAGATCCACAGAGCCGCTGGCAAATGAGACCTGTCTTATTTTTTCTGGACAAGGACACAAACTGCTGGGCAGGTGGCCACTGGGAGGGGACAACTCCCCCTTGATCCCAGGGATATTTTGTAGGAAGTTACATGAAGGTGGCTTCTTGCCCAAACTGGTTATATATTAGTTTATGTCACTGTTTCCTTTGGAGGGTCCCTGGACATCCGGTGTCTCACAGCCCTCTGCACGTCTAGTGTTAGCCATCTTGGCTCACACTGGAAATCCATATCAGCACCATGCTGTCTAAACACAAATCCCTCATGGCCCTGATTCCCTTCACACACCCACCTTGAGATGTTGAGGGAGTCTTTCAAGAGAATAAACCATCTGCTCCATGTGAAAGCCTATGATCTAAACCTTAATTTTGATGCTAATGGGACACATCTGGGGGAAATAAAGAAGTTCATGTGCAGATAACGAAGAGCAGTTTGTCTCATGGTGTCTGAAGTCACAAGGGTGTTCAGCTCTTTTGCATTTGGCATAGACTCGGCAGGCAGAGGAGTGGGCCAGTTTTATTACAAATGAAAGGGCAGGCTCTGGGTTAGCACCAGTGGATGATGCTGGCATTGAACATCTGCAGGTTCCCACCAGAAGGGGGATATACTACGTGATTCATCAGGGGTGAATGCTAGCCTTCTGCTGGTCATTCTAATCGGAAGTTGGGGCATCAATTAGATAAGTTGTCAGCGAAGAGTCAAGTCCTGGTTATTTTGGGCAGATGAATACTGGGTCACTGTCTGGCTTCCAGGATTTGTTACTAGAGGTCAGAGTAGTCTTTGTAGATGGACTGGCCATGGTCTGTTTGCACATCTAGCCTGTCCATCCATTTGCTCAATGTTGCAGATCAACTTTGTGCTCCTAACCTGGACCCTGTGGATCCTGAGGCAGAAGCTCTGCAGTGTCAATTCAGAAGTCTCCAAACTCAAAGACACCAGGTGCAGCTTCCTTTCCTGTCCTTGGCTACTTATCTCTGCCTTCTTTTGATGAAAGCTTACTGATCACATTTTCTGGTAAATCTTTTGTGCCTGGTTTGCAGGTATGTGTATGTGTTTGTGTGTGTGTGTGTGTGTGTGTGTGTGTGTGTATGTTTGTGTGTGTGTGTGTTCAGGTATGCATATGCAGGTGTATGTGGGTATGTGTGTGTAGGTCTGTGTGTGCAAGTGTGTGTGTATGCTTAGGTGTTTGTGCAGGTGTGTATGCAAGTGTGTGTGCGTAAATGTGTGTGTAGATGTCTGTGTGCAGGTGTGTATGTGCAGGATGTATGTGTAGGTATGTGTGTGCAAATGTCTCTTTGTGTATGTGCAAGTGGCTGTGCAGGTATGTGTGTGTGCAGCTGTGTGTGGATGTCAGATGACATCCTTGGGTGTCTGTCCTTGCTGTCCACCTCATTTGAAGTAGGATCTCTTTGATACCCTCCCTCCACCCCTGTGTACACCAGGTTGCTGCCTTTGAGCTTCCGCAGTTTCTCCTGTCTCCTTCCACCTCACAGGAGCATGGGGGGTGCAGATGCTCATGCCATGCACCCAGCTTTCTGTGAGCTCTCAAGATTTGAACCCAGGTCCTCACATTTGTACACCAAGCACTTACCCACCGAGCTGTCTCTAGCTTCTGATCACCCTTCAGATGCTCATGAGAGAGGAGCCATGAGGCTGGAGTAGAACAGCTGGGTCCAGATATGTGACCTCTGACACTACCAATGCTTTCTGTGACCTGTGTGGCATCACGTTACTTACACGACTTCTACAGAGCTCTGTTTCCTCCCATGCAGTGTGGGGTTATTAATGACGTTTGCCTTATGTGGCTAATAAGGTATTTATCACGGTTAATGGGAGTTTTGAGAGTTTCATAGATTGCAACTATTAATTTATCCTGTGTGAACACACACACACACACACACACACACACACACACACACGAGAAAGCATCATTTCAATTCTTTGAGATGTTTTGGCTATTTTGAGACAGGCTGTCACTTTGTAGCATGGGCAGCCTCAAGTTCCTGAGTCTGTTTTAAATTAAAATTTTTTTTTGTGTGTTTTGAGTGTATGAGTATTTTGGCTGCATGTATGTAAGTGCACCATGTCATGCAGTGCTCATGGAATCCAGAAGGGGGCATTGGATCCCCAGGAACTGGAGTTAGAACAGTTGTCAGCTGCCAGTGTGGGGGCTGAGAACTGAACCCAGGTTCTCCGCAAGAGCAGCTAGTGCTCTTAACTGTGGAGTCAGCTTTCCATCTCCAATTGGCTATCCTTGATATTTAAGCAAATGAAACCATTCAACATGTGGCCTTTGTCTGGATTCTTTTATTTATTCCGAAGTTTATAGGATCTAGTCACGTTGCATCAGGCATCACTGCCTCCTTCTTTAGTATTCAATTGATTGGACAGTCCACATTCTATTTAACCTATATTTATCTTTATTTATCCTATGGGCACATCCATTAGTGGACATGACATGGCCTATCTATACTATATTTATTCTATTCATTTATATGTTGATGAAGATTTGGTTATTTCCCACCTGAGGGAGAAGTGGGGGAAAGAGAGTGATTCCTTAATATGCATAGGGTTTCATTTTAAAAAATAATAAAAAAAGCTGAGTATGGTGATGCATGCCTTTAATTCCAGCACTTGGTGTTAAGGGTCCATAAAATTCCCTAAAGTGACCACTCGGACACCGAGTCTTAGTAAAAAGGAGAGCTTTATTGGAACCAACAGGTTGGGGACACAGACAATCTTGGGAGCTGTGCTGCGACCCTGAACAGTAAGAACGCAGGGCTTTTAAGAAGAAAAGCCACAAAAACCACAAGACAGGATGTCCATAGAAACTATACACAGAATAACCAAGGAAGGATTGGAACAACCTAGGGCTGATTTCCAGAGACTTTACCTATACAGCCATTGGCTGTCTTACCTGGGGCAGAACGTTCTTTTTCTTCTGCCCCAGATTATTCCCATAGAGACCATACACAGATGGATCAAGTATACTGTCATTGGCTAGCCCACCTGGGGCAGAACGTTCTATCTCTTCTGCCCCAGACCATTTCCATAGAAATCATAAGCAGATACCAGGAAAGGGTTCGAACAATGAAGGGGATTTCCAGAGTTAGGTGGAGGGGCCTGAGGGGCACTCTCTTTCATTGGGAGGCAGAGGCAGTAGGATCCCTGAGCCTGAGGCCAACCTGGGCTACAAAGAGACCCTGTCTCCACAAACCAAAACCAAAACCAAAAAAACAAAAGAAAAAAAAAAGACTTGGAACTATTAATTGGTGACAATTGCACATATGTGAATGTACTCAAAGATGCTTTATTGCACATTTTTCATAGTTAAAATGGTGGCTCTTACCTCGATACAATGAAGGCTCTCCAGTATTCCATGCTATGCCCCCACCGTTCCCTTAATGAGCCCCACATTTCTGGGCATTGGCTCCTTCCAGCTCTTCATTGTGGAACACCAAATCCATTCCACACCCACATCCAAATATCTTTGAACCCACCTGTACTGTAGTCCAGCTGCATTTTAATTGCCTGTAGGATGCAACTTTGTTATGCTTGAGATAGGGAGCTTCATTTTACCTTTATCCCCAGCCAGGTGGTGAGTCACCCGATGTCACCTTCAGACAGTTCCCATGGGATGCGTCCCATGGAGACAACTCCAAGTCTTACTACATTTCATTTTGTAAACATTCTCCTGCAGGTTGCTGACCTTCAAGGCCATAGCCCAGATCTTCGTGTTGGGTTGCTCCTGGGTGCTGGGCATTTTCCAGATTGGCCCCCTGGCGAGCATCATGGCATACCTGTTCACTATAATCAACAGCCTGCAGGGGGCGTTCATTTTCCTCATTCACTGTCTGCTCAACCGCCAGGTATGTGGCTGCAGCTTCCCACCTTCCTCTGTCCATATTCTCTGGACATGCCTGTACCAGATCCATTCCTCTGCACCCAGGAGGGTGTGTGTGTGTGTGTGTGTGTGTGTGTGTGTGTGTTCATGTGCATGCATGCTCTCCCTGTGGAGGCTAGAGGTGGAGTCATGCTTCACCTTCCACCTTATTAAAAAGATTTTAGGGGCTGGAGAGATGCTCAGCAGTTAAGTCACAGCTGCTTTTGCAGAGGATGGGGTTTGGTTCCCAGCACCATTATATGGGTGCTGGGAACAGCACCTGGGTCCTCTAGAAGAGCACCACATGCCCTTAATTGTGACACCATCTCTCCAGCCCCTCCACCACTTAGTTTTTGAGACAAGGTCTCTCACTGCAACTGGAGCATCAGTTTAGCTAGGCTGTCTGGCCAGCAAGTCCCAGGGATCCTAATGCCTCCACTTTCCCAGCACTGGGTTACAGACCCATGCCACCATGCTGGGCATTAACTTTTTTCTTTATTCCTGAGAATCTCATACATGTGTACAATGAAATACGGTCCTGTCTCCCCATTGCCCTCTTCAGCTCTTGTTACACCCCACACATCCTCTTATCAACTTCATGACTTTAATATATTTGCCAGGTGTGGTGGCACACGCCTTTAATCTCAGCACTCAGGAGGCAGAGGCAGGTAGATCTCTGTGAGATCCAGGCCAGCCTGGTCTACATAGTGAGTTCCAGGCCAACTATAGCTATAAGGAGACCCTGTCTCAAAAAACAGGTGGCCTGGAACTGGCTATGTAGACCAGGCTGGTCTTGATCTCACAGAGATCTGCCTGCCTTTGCCTCCCAAGTGCTGGGATAAAAGGCAAGTGCCACCGTTCCCAGCCATGTCTTTTTAAAAATAAATAACTCACTAAGTCCAGTTAGTCCTGCCCATATGTGCATGGGTGTGGAACCGTGCTCTGGAACATGGAAATCCTATCAGTAGCAACATCCTCAAAAAAGAATGATTCTATCTCCTCAAGAAACTGTCAATGCCAATAGATCCTCAGCAAGGGGTGGAGACTGCCTAACTCCACCCATGCTGGAATTCTGACTGGCTGGATCTTGTGCAGGTGACCACAGTTGCCGTGAGCTCATGAGTCAATGCTCCTGTCATGTGCAGAAGACAGCAGCTCACAGTGCCCTTCCCCATTCTCTGGCTTTTACATTCTCTCCTCCTCTTGTTTTCTGAGCCTTGGTTGGGGGGTGAGTGTGTGTCTATAGGTGTCTTGTTTAGGGCTGAGCACTTTGCTGGGCTTTTTATGTGGGTGATGGGAATCTGGGCTTAGGTGCCGATGGCCCTCAGCAAGCACCTTACTGACCAAACCATTTCTCCAACCCAGTTTATCTTCCTCTGATGCATCTGTCTCCAGGTACGAGAAGAATACAGGAAATTCATCATCAGGAAGACTGAGCCCAGCTCCCATTCACAGACTTCAGGAATCTTACTGTCATCCATGCCTTCTACTTCCAAGACGGTGAGAGACTGTGCACTTCCCACAGGTGCTCTTTAGAAAGAACACAGGGTGCTCAGCAGCGCCAAAAGCTGCTGTGTACCAGTTACTGACTGGGTGCTAAGTGCACTCATTTCAGTTGGCTTATTGAGTTGTAGGGCATAAGGCAGGGGATGTTGGGAGCCAGGATGTGTGGGCTTATCTGCCAGTGTTCCCCCTTATTAAGTGTGCCATAAAGGGGAAGACTTCTAGAGATGTACGTTGAGGGTTTTATCTTGCTCAAGGGCTATCAACTAGATGTCATTACCGGTTCAAAAGAAAATGAAATTTGACATGACTTCAGTTGAGTTGCCCATTAACAGATGAATGTATTGAAAGAAAGATGGTGTATCAGCTGTTATTGCTGGGACAAAATATCTGACAAAAACATCTTCAGGAAGAAAGGGTGTATCTTGGCTCATGGTTAAGGGCACAGTCCATCCTGGTGGAGAAGACACGGTAGCAGGAGGTGAGGCAGCTGGTCACATGGCACCCACAGTCAGGAAGCAGCGAGATGAGTGCCACTGCTCAGCTCACTTCCTCCTTACTGTGCAGTCCGAGACCTCAGTCCGGGGATGGTGCTGCCCACAGTCACAGCAGCCCTCCCACCTGGTCTAGAGCATCCCCCACAGACACGCCAACAAGGTTGTCTCCTAGATGATTCTAGATCCTGTCAAGTTGATAATTGGTATGACCATCACACAGCAGAGTTTCATTTATCATAAAGAAAAAAAAAGTCCTTTTCAGGAACGTGGTTGGAACTGGAGATCATTGTGTTAAGAGAAATAATCCAGACACAGAAATAGAAATATCACACACACATTTTCTCTCGTATGTGGAATCTAGGTTATAAAAGGCATACAAGTAGAAGGGCAGTCATTTGGGAAGAGAAAGAACTAGTGGGGGTAGGGAGAGAGAAAAGAGGGTAAGTAGTAGGGTGCTTTTGATCAAAGTACATGATGTACATACATGGAAATGCTACAGAAAACCCTGTCATTTATACAACGGACATACACTAGTAAAGAAAAAGCAAAGGCATGTTATTTACCATATCAATGGGCTTTGCCTCAAGTTTTACCTTAGTAGAATTCCATACTATGACCTCACTATTCATTTAATGCATACCAAGACTTTGGATATGTGGGTCTGTATTAGTTTCATTCTGCTGCTGTAATAAAATGCCCTGACAAGAGCACTTAAGGGAGACAGGGTTTATTTGGCTCAGAATTCCGGGTGACAGTCCTTCATGACAGGAAAGTCACAGGAACAGGTGCTGGAGAGAGCTGGTCACATCACACCCACAGTCAAGAGCTGATGCAGGCATGCACGTGTTCAGCTGTTTCTCTGGTTCTGAATAGTTTAGAATTACCAGAGCCACCCACAGTGGGTGGGTTCTCCTACATCAGTTAATGTAATCAAGACAGCCTCTCACAGACATGTTTGCAGGCCACCCTGATCTTGACAGTCCTTCACTGAGACTGTCATCCCAAGTGGTTCGAGATTGTGTCAAGTTGACAATTAAAACCAACGATCACAGGAGTATTTTTACTCTATGAGCAAAATTCTGTCCAATATGTATACACAAACATCTTTGCATCTATATGTAAATATAGGGAAATTTCGTTTATATGTATGTGTATGATATATTTACATACACAAGAAGTAAATGTAAATATGCCTATATTTCGACTCTATAAAATTTACTCTTCCAAAATTTTAAGTTTGCTAATTTCATGTAATATATTTTGATTGAATTTAGATCCCCTCCCCTCCTGCTACTTCTCAGCTCTTCCCCTAATTTCATATATTTTCTTACGTGTGTGTGTGTTATATATATATATGCCAACCTGTGTCCCCAAATGCCCTCTGGAGTACTGGAGTAAGTCCATCCACTGGAGCCTGGTCAACCTATCAAGAGTCTCTTAACTGTGACAAACTCTCCCCCTCCCAGCAGCCATTGGTTGCTAATAGCTCCTCAGGTGGGGTTGGAGTTTCTTGATGTGAAGGACTAAACCCAGGGGCTCACAATTCTAGGCTTTAATCTCTCATTGTGGGGAAGTCACAGTGGCGGGGGCTCGAAGCAGGCAGTCACATCATATCTAGTCAAGAGCAAAGAAAAATGAACAAAAGCACGCCTACTGCTTGGCTTGCTTTCTCTTTAATACAGCCAGCCCAGGACCCAAACCCAGGGAATGATGCTGGCCACAATGGGCAGGTCTTCTTACTACAATGAACACAAGTAAGAAAACTCTCACAGGCATGACCACAGGCCTACCTGATCCAGGCAATCCTTTATTGATGTTCTCCTCCCAGGTGAGTCTAGATTGTGACACGTTGACAGTTAAAATTAAGCATCAAGGGTGTCATATTCCTCAGAGCTGTGGCCCTGACAAATTGCCCATGCTCTTGTAAATAATGCCCAATGATGCTCATGTAAACACCTCCAGTGAACCCCAGTGGGTCAAAAAAACAGGACAATCATGTTAAACCTTTCAATGCATAGGCTTCTAGTCTGTTTCTGTATTTATCTCAGTGTATATTTATCTCAGACTGGTGCCTCTGTAGAGACGACCTTTGCAATCATGCTTGTATTAATTCTGCTTTAATCTCTAAGGAAATTCTCCTTTTTCTCTCCTAGGGTTAACATCCTTTTTTACTTTCAAACATGATGTGAAATAGAATGTGAGGATTTCAAGCGCCTGCAGGAGTCCACTTTGAAATCTCTTTGTGGCTTATTATGGAAATTCAGGGTTTCCCTGGTTTAGGCTTAGAAATGTCCTTGTTAATTCAAATATGCATGGCGGAGTCAAACTCCCAGAGTTTCATGCGCTGATGAGAAAAATTTGCTACTCCAGATTAGTGTTATCTTCCGTAGCCTGCAACTGTGAATCTCCAGAAGATTGGCAGGTAACAACGGCGAGCCTGGGAGTGCGTCACTGTGTTTTCTCCTGCGGTCACGGCGCATGGCTCCAAGCACACCCTCTATCACCAATTGGGTACTGGACACAGAGTAGCTTTTAATAAAAGATTTGTTGTCTGTCTGAGTGATTTACCCTAAGAGAAAAACTCTTCATGTTTCTTTTAATCATTTATTTAATTTCATACACGTATACACTGATCATATCCTCCCCAACTTCCCCCTCTCCCCCTGAACAACGCCAACATGTTCCCCTCCCACCTTCACATTTTCTGTCTCTCTCTGTCTTTCTCTCTGTCTCTCTCTCATAGCTCAGGGAGTTGAAGTAGCATATTAACTGATCTTCTTGGCTTGACATTGTGCGGGTAACCATAGCTACAGTGAGTTCATGAGTGCAACGGCTGCAAAGCGTCCAGAAGTCAGCATTTCACAGCTCTCCTCCCCATCCTCTACTCTCACATTCTGTCCACCTCCTCTTCTGCCATAATCCCTGAGCCTTGGAGAGTTTGTAGCAGTGCCTCATTTAGGGGTGAGCACTCCACAGTGAGCACTCAATGGTCACATATTCTCAGCACATTGACCAGGTTAGCCAGGCTCCAGTGGATGAACCAACACCAGGGCCATTTAGGGACACAAATCTGACTCTATAGGACTTTATATAGACACACATATAAAATATAAATAAAATAGAGCAGAAAGTGGAGGACTTTATATAGACACACATATAAAATATAAATAAAATAGAGCAGAAAGTGGAGGGGATGAAATACGATCCAGACATTGTGTGCAATGTGCAAAAATCCAATAAAAATTGAAAAAAATTCTTGAAAAAGGGCATCTATTAGAGGAGCTATTCCTCATAGCTATATAGACTGCAGGGTTGTGGGGGCTCTGGGCGGAGTTAGGGGTCCCTTACAGGGTTCAGAGGAAGGAGGAGATCTGATGCCATGTGTTTGATGAGTAGCCCATAACTGCTCACAGTCAGGCCACCTGTGAATGGTCTATGAGGGTGAGTAGGGCACGAATCTAGAAAAGCATTTTTCTTTAGTTCTGGGAACCAAATTACTTTAGTTTGGGGAATCTACATTTTTCTTTCTTCTTTTTAAATTTTATTTGTTATTTTTATTTTATGTGCATGAGTGTATTGTCTGCATGTATGTGAGTGCACCCGTGTTGTGCAGTGCCACGGAGGTCAGAAGACGGCTTCGGATTCCCCTGGAACTGGAGTTAAGGACAGTTTGTAGCCGCCATGTGGGTGCTGGGGATCGAACCCAGGTCCTCTGCATGAGCAGTCAGTGCTCCTAACTGCTGAGCCATCTCTCCAGCCCAAGGGGAATCCACATTTTTCAAACAACATGGAGGAGGAACTTTACAAAATGGGGAGACCATGGCTAACAACAAGCAACTTCACTGTTACCATAAACTTCCTCATGGGTTGGTCAGGATTCTGCACCCACAAAGTTGGCACTAGTGACCTTCAAATAGTAAGAATGAGAAGAAAATGTTAATTTAAATATATATTAAAAAATCAAGCAAGCAAAGAAACATAGAAAAAGAGGTGTCCTCATTTCTGTGGGTGCTGTCAAGTCTACCTACTAAACTTGAATGTGGACACCAGAAGCAGCACCATGTGGAGGCTTTTGGCAATTTGATGCCAGACTGAGAGACTAGAAGAGGAGGCAGATAAAACCGTAACAGGAAGAGTAAGGGGTGATGAGGGACAGGACATTGCCAGGCTTTACTTTCACAATAGAACCTCTATACCTACGGCTCGCAGAACATAGTGGAACAATAGAGAGAATACTATGTGTCTCTCAACTGGTATCAATGAAGCTCCTCATGTAGCAGAGGGCAATGAGCACAAAAGACCACAAATGGCCCAAATGCAGAGAATAAGAGTCTGCAGAGTGTGGGTCCTTGGACAGGACTCGTATATTAAACTCCACCCACCCAGGGCTCAGGGACCATTGCAGAAGACAGGGCAGAAAGATTGTAAGAGCCAGGGGAGGAGGTGCAGGACCATACGGAAATAGAGTCCTACAGGTTCCTGGGACCCTGTTCATATTATCCAATGAAGCAATGGCATCAGCATGAACAAGCCCCATGCAAACTCAAGCAGACAAAAACCCTGTTTAGAACTGTGGAAATGGGCAGCAGCCCCAATCTTAGCTGAAGAACCATTGGCAGCTGATTACTGCTGGGTGAGGCAGAGCTGATTTTCTTTAAGGGTGTGACTCTGGATAGGCTGACTAGACCCCAGGGGGTGAACTTGTACTGAGGGATGTCTGCGTACGCTAACTTTACTCAATGGGCCTTAACATAAATGACAGAGTGCATGAAATCCAAAGGGGGGGGTGGCGCTATGGGAGGGCGTGGGGGGGAGGGGGTATAAACATGATTAAGATGTTTTATATGAAATGTACAAAAATTCAATAAAAATACCTTGAAGGAAAAAACCCTAATTTTAAATTTTTCTTTTCTTTCCCCTTTTAAATTGAACTTTGCAAATCTCATACAGTATAGTTTGAACCTGCTTAGATCCCCTCCCCTATCTGCACCAGGCCCTTACTAGGTCCCGCTCAGTTTCATGTGTCCTATTGCATATATTATATTATGTTGGCCAGCTGATGGTGATTAGTGCAGGTTTTATTTGAACTCCTACAGGGCCCCTTCAGCTGAGCTGCTGAGATGGCCTTAGTCACGTAGCTTGGAGTTATGGTCTATCAGCACCCACTTCTTTAAATTCATCAATCCAAAATTAGGAGAGGGACGCTATCAAAAACACTTAAAAGGCTCGAGCCCTCCTGGGAGCTTTGGGTTTTTCAATTTCAGAATCCTCTTATCTCCAATTCTCTGTGTGAATGTGTGTATTTCTTGCAATAAACTTTGAAACCTGTTGCTTTCTGCTGTACCTGAGATTTTTCCTGCCATTTAATTCATTTAGTTGGCAGAAGAGAAAATGAATCCAGCTAAGATTCTTAGATGGCAACCAGGATGAGGGGAATGTAGATGGAAAGAATTTATGAAATCAGATCATTCCAAAACGGCAGCTGCATGCTTGTTTCATTTCCGTTGCTGGTAGATCACTCTGACTAAGACGCCTTGAAGCGGGACAATTTCATCACATCTGACACGTCTAAGTGACAGTCCATCACTGAGGGAAGTCAGGCAGGAGCTCAGGGCAGGAACTTGGAGGCAGGAACTGAAGCAGAGACCATGGAGGAACACTGTTTACAGCTCTTCCCCTTGGCTTAGGCTCAGTCTGCTTTCTTATATAATCCAGGACCACCTGCCCAGAGGTGTCGCTGCCCATAGGAGGCTGGGCCCTCCCACATCTGTCAACACTCAAGAAAATGCTGCACAGACATGGCCACAGGTGAATCTGATAGAGGAAATTCCCCAGTTGAGGTTCTCTCTTCCCTGATGTGTCAAGTCAACAACCAAAGCCAACCATGAGAAGTTGAGTCACATCTGAGAAGCTGAGAATCACGAAGTTTCTCTGTCCTTGAGGCCCAACATCTGTCTCACACTGGAGAGGCCGAGAACCTGGCGGTTTCTTAATCCACAGAGCTGGGTGCCTCAGCAGCCCCTATCTAGTACAGAAAACCTAACGGTTCCCAGAGAGAGGTCCCTAGTCAATAGTGGAATCCTGGAAACACCAATTCTAGTATCAGTGGAGAACTCAGCAGCACCAATGCGATAAATGAACTCAGTGGCAAGAGGGAAGGTCAAGGCAGTGAAGGTCACTAATCTCCCTTCTTCCATGGCTCTTTTTATCCAGGCTGTTTCCAGAAGGTGCTGCTCACATTTGGGGGACAGTCCCACATCAAGTCTGGCAAGCAAGACAATTCCTCAGCAGAGGCTCCTGCTGAGGTGATTCTAACATGGCAAGTTGACATTAGAACCAACCACCACAGCCTTTCACTTCAGATCAAATGTGTTTTTCTGTATTTGCACAGCTTTCTCCACACTCCCAGATGAATATAAAGAGACCGCACATTTCACATGCGTGTGCGCACTCTCCCAGAAGCGTGTACATTCTAGAACCCAGTAAAGAGACACTCGACCTTTGTGAGATGGCTCAAGCAGAGTTCATATATGAAACACAGGACTCATTTCCAGTTAGTCTTTGAATGCCTGATGCGCGTCCCATGGTATAGACGGAGAAACAGAACATCACAAGACATTGATTTACAGACACTGAGGAACATGGAAGCCAGGCCATATTCTGAAATTCAAAAATGCAGCTTCTTTTCTGCATTTGTATTGACAGACTGACTTGGAATTTTTGGACTGAGGATTTTATTGGTTCTCCAGGCAATGGGTGAACACATGCACTTGCAGGAGAGTTTGCATTCGTGAGTTATGTCCCTGTTGCTTCACTGGACCCCAGGTATGTGAGGCAGTTATTTCCTGTCTTGGGCATTGAGGGACATGATGCCCTGCATGTCTGGAGGATCCTTGGTTGACATGGGTCCTTCTGACCTTCACACCTCACATTTTAACTTTGAGTCCTCAGCTGCCATCCAATTACATCACGTCAGATGGTGTTTGTGCCAATAGTTAATGGACACAAGTCTTTCTGAGTTGAGTTGGTCTCCATGGCTTTGCTCTTCTTGGAGCTGGATGACATCATGGTACCTGGGACTGGTGGCGATCATCCTAAAGCATATGATTCCAACTTGTGTTTGTCACCTGGACAGGGAAGCTCAGATGCAAGGCCCGAGGGCAGAAAGTGGTGAAGACTTCTCCTGGGGAGTGGAGCAAGCTGGGCTGAAACGAAGAGGGGTCGAGTGTCCTCCTCAGCCTGTGGCACTAATAAACGCACACATGTACACACCCAACTGGGGTAGATGTGCACCTGGCTGTGTTTCCATTTCCGTTCAGGCTCAGCATTTTGCAGACCCATTTAAGATGCTCACTTCGAATGATGCCTTTTTGATCCTGACCCTTGGCATAATTTCATGCAATTTGGTTGATTCCAGATGCATTTTGAAGAGAACATACACTGTCTACCAGAATGGAGATTTGATGATCAGTGTATTCTTACCTGTGTACAAATATCAAAGATCACCACACACTTTAGGGCCTGACAACACACTTATATCTTGGTGGCAAGTACCGTCTTCATTTGTGTATCATGATGAATAATGAATAGGACACCCGTGGATGGATGGACTAGTAAACTCTGCCTTTCATCCTATTTGTTGTCATCCCACTACCCAGGCTGAACCCACAGTTCATTTCCTCATCAGTATTTCTCCCCTTTCAATATGGCAGAAGAGTACTCCAGCTTCATCCTTTGAGTAGCCATGGCATCCTCACCGTGTTTCGTCACCTCTGTTCCTCCTGACATGCAGCTGGCTGTGCGAGGTCACTCAGAAACACTACCCAAGACAGTGACATATGTTCAGCACAAAGAGTCTGCAGCAAAGCATTC